CTAGTTGTCAAGCAGCAGGCATGAATGCATAAAAAGTTATTTTTCACGTGGATTTATATTGCCCATTAGAGACAGTATAAAGACGTTTAAGAGGCCATCTTAGGTGCCTATTATCCAAGGTGTCGGAGCCTAAATATCCGATGGGACATAATCCATGGTAGCAAAAAGTAATACTTTCCAGTCAATAAGCGGTAAAGATTACTACTAGTTTCCACAATCCAGAAATGAATTCTGATAATGTTACTTTTACGTGAATATATGCCGTCTATTTAAGAAAAAAAGCCTATCTAAGGCGTGTAAATACCCAAGGTGTGCCCATAAGGTATGCCTGGTAATCGCCGAGAGTCTCCCGTCCCCTCGCGGCGCGGGTGGGACATAAGCCACGTAAGGCAGCGCGCGTAAACCCGATCAATCCGTCGGAAGCCCCGTTAGTCCCCGCCTGCTGTCCGGCCCAGGTAGGCCTAATCGCCCGACACGCCGCCCGCCGCACCGCGCCACACCGCTGCCCACGCCGACGCCCCGACGCCGACGCCCCGACGCCTGGCGGCAGGCGACGGCCCGACGCCACGCGCCGCCGACGCTCGCGCTGGGGACGGGGGGATGTTGACGGTGGGATGTTGACGGTGCGATGTTGACGATGGGATGTTGACGGTAGGATGTTGACGATGGGATGTTGACGGTGGTGTGCCATCGTCGAATTGACGGTGACGCAAGGCGATGGTGTAAAGTCCATGAGGTTATTGATGGCCGGACGTGACGGTTAAATTGTCCCCGGCGATCATTCAATGCAGTCAGTCGTTTTCATCTGTCGTTTATTCGGATGCCGTCGGTCATTTGATGCCGTCGCTCATTTGATGCCGTCGGTCATTTCATGCCGTCGGACATTTTGATGCCGTAGGTCATTTGATGCCGTCAGTCATTTTGATGCCGTCTGTCATTTTGATGCCAGACGATTTCGCTGAGAAGCAGAAATCTCACTGACTCAAATGGCGGGGAATTGAAGTAGACTGGAATGGGCCACAATCGAATTGACGATAGCGTGAAGTCGATTAGGTTGTGGATGACACGCGATCTGCAATGGTATTTTCGGTGAAGCGACCTTCAAGTTGACGCCGAAGAACATTCGGGCTCGCGAGTCATTTTGTTCCGACGTTTATTTGGATGCCGTCGGCCATGTGGGTGGTCGCTCAGATGTTGACGGCGATGGGTCACAGTAGAATTGACGACGACGCAAGGCGATTGCATGAAGTCGATGACGTCATTGATGGCCCGATGTGACGGTTAAGTAGTCGCCGCCCAACATTCGACATCCTCGTTTGGATCTGTCACTTAATTTGATGCTGTCTGTCACCGGAGCCTATAATGGTCCACGATCGAATTGACTATAGTACAAAGCCGGTAAGATTACGGATACCTACGGTCTGCTATGCCGACCAACATTCGACACCGTCAGTCGTTTCCATCTGTAGTTTATTTTGATGCCGTCAATTATTTTGATGTCGTCTGAAATGTTTATACTACAAATCTTTTTGTCGGAAAGCAAAGATCTGGCTGACCCCGTTGGTGGGGAATTGAAGTTGACTGTGATGGTCCGCGGTCGAATTCACAGCGACGCATGGCGAAGTCGATGATGTAACGGATGACACATAACGGCGATTGTCTTTTCGATAATCGATGGTCACATTGACGCCGTTTAATATTCGGCGCCATCACTCGTTTCAAACAGTCGTTTATTTTGATGTAGTTGCAAAGATGCCGTCGGACTTGTGGGTGGTGACGGTGGTGTGTTGACGCTGATGAGCCATGGTCGTGGTTTGTCATACCATGAAGTTGGTGAAGTTATGGATTGCACAGATAGTCCGTCATTGGTCATAGGAACTCACAGATTGACGTCGATGAGCATTCGGCGTCGTCCGACATTATGATAGGTGTGCGTGATCTGGGTTGTCCGGGTGACGCCGCGTCGAAGGCTGTGTTGCCGACGTTTCAACGCGGTGTCACACGGACAGCCCAGATCACGCACTGACTCTGGCCGAGGAAGTCTACGACTTCATTATGATAGGTGGTTTATTTTTGATTCCGTCGATCATTTGGGTGGTTGGTGGTATGTTGATAGTCATGGGCCACGGTCGAATCGACAACGGCGTAAAGTCGATGAAGTAATGGATGACATTGACGGTCAACAACGGTCTGTCTCTTCGACGACGCGACGGTCAAGTTGACGCCGACGAAGAATCAGCGCCGTTATTGTTTTTGAACCGCGTCGGCCATTTTGATGCTAATGATCATTTTGTCGGATAACCGTGTCCTCTCTTGCTTTGATGGTGAGCGGATGAAGTTGACTGTGACAGGCCTTATTGGACATGACGGCACCGGTCAATCGCTGAAGTCGACAGCGTTGCGTCGATGGAGGCGTTACGTCGTTGCTAACGGGTGTTGACGGTCTGGAGCACGTCAGTAAGATCAACGATGACCGTTTTTTGATTATGACTATCACGCAGCCAAGAGAAGTCAAGATCCTTCTTGATGTTGTCGGTGATAATCTATGGTCACATTGAAGGTGTCCTTCAATGACGGGTGGCGATAGCGTTGGCTAGGTTATGTTGAGGCCGACCTGCGCTTGTCACAATGACGGTCAATCCGAAAGCCAATTCCCAGACCAACGGTCATTTAGAATCCGAACCTCATTTTTACGCATACCTTCACTTCACCAAGAATGAAGGTTTCGTGGATCCCCATAATGAAATTTAGAAGATAATGGCGGATGGTTATGTTAGTCACATAGGAATAATGGGATTTATATGTTTTTGTTTCTTAATGTTAGGAAGTTTGATGTCTGCGATTTGCAAATATACTTTCACAAAGTTTGAAGACATCATTTAATGAAGACTGTATTTAATGCCTTCAAGATGGATCAGATAATTGTATCGAATTTAACACAGTACGGAATATCTGCACCTCAAATCAATGTTTCTGATATTTAGCTGACTATATCTGAAATACAACTAATTTATTTCCGAAAAGAAGAGACTAAACAAAAAAACTTTAAGTACGTTTCTGAAATTCAATTGAAAGTCCCCCCAAAAATAATTCATACACACAAAACTATTATATCACACATTATCGACAATTCAGAAAGAAGTCAAGAACTCTTTTGTATCTAGTCACCAACATCTCTCAAGGAACAAAAAAACGAGAAGAAAAGACAGTGGAAGAATGGGAGAAATAAGGGGAAGAAGGGATCAAATATAATAAGAAAAATATGAGAGAGAGGGAAGAGAAAAAAGATAAAGAATATCTTATAAAAACCTGAAAGAAGTAGAATATGTAAAAAAATTAAAATATAAGAGGAGGTGGAAAGAGTGGGGTGAGTAAAATAGAAGATATCGGTGCGAAGGAAAATTTGGAAGAGCGGGAGAAAGAGTAAAATAAAGAGGAGGATAAACTGAAGGAAACACCCCGTGCTTTCTGTATCAGGGTTTACTCCTAACTCCACGTTTATTGATTCCTGCGACTATCGGACTCGTGTGCCCCTTTCGCTCAAGAATTCAGGAAGTAGAAGCAAGCGAGCGGGGTTTACAGCAGGCGGCGCAGGTGTGGCGGGGGCGTGAGGGGTTGCTGTGTCGGGAGAGGGGAGGGCTCTGTGGTTTCGCGACCGCGGTCGGAGGGGAGGCTGGTCGCTGAAAATCACGACCTGCTCGGAGGGGAGGGGCCGCGGCGCAAAATCCTTCGCGCAAATCCTACGTCAGGTGCCGGAAAAGCCCGAAAGGCATCAACGATTTCATGGACGAGAGCTACGTTCAAAATCTAAAATTCGAAGTGATCTACCTTTTAGGTGTCAATTATTTATGAATATCTATCTCCAAGTATAAATAGAAATTAAATTTATTTTATAAAGTTGAAGAATCACCAAGTACGCAAAAATAATAGCCCACTTATATTTAGAATATTACAGAAAAATGTAGAATGGTCTATAGACGACGATATTAAAGAGAAGTCTGACACTGCTGTACCTCCACTGGCTTCGCAAACTATGGCCGGAGATTCAATGTGCTAAACAGAAAGTGGAATTCAAGTTACAATCTGTTAGTGTGGTTCCGTAATTGTTCTTAGCCTATTTCATGCTTGAGAATCCCCGTTCGCACAACCCGTTGATTTAAAAACAGAAGCCAACCGCAGAGACTTCGCGTAGAATGGGGTATTTTTCAACACTTGCTTGTTTCCAAAACACTCAAGAAACTATGCTTTGTATTGTATTGAATCCACATACACCGTTTTCTGAATAGTGGACTCTTTTAAATAACGGATTTTTTTACCCAAAACTTGTCTAATATTGAAAAGTTTCACTGTATTATTTTTCCTTTGTGATGTAATATTTCATTGCTGAAATTATGTATTTTGTCTTTGTTGAAATTTAAAATTATTTCTTGTTAATGAGGTCCAACATCGTATACACACTCCCAAGGAAATTCCACGTCCATAAGATTATATGTCCGATAAGGAATGAAGCAGTGGTCAGTACGCCACGAAACTTACAAAAATCTTAAAAGAGAGTTTTTATAACTGTTTATAGTAACAATTGAAATTACTTTCAATCTATGAGCAGTATTGTTTTCATCTCAATTTACAGCACATTCGTTTAGTAAAGTATGGAATTTACAACTTCGTGAAAACAAGCAGCGGATAGAAAACAGAAATCCTTTTTTTGTGGAAATCTATATCAAAATACAAGAATTAAATATGAAACTGTTAAGAAATACAACTGTATTCACTGTTCAAGCCACAAAACAGAAAATAAGCGAAGAACAGCAGTTATCATGTTTGTTTACTTTCCCTGTAGCTCGGTAAAATACAGCTTCTCGTCTTTGTCTACGTCTGCCTCTCTTTCTCTCTCTCACCCCGCAGCACGTCTCCATCTTCTTACCCCATCCGCCAGCAGTCAGTTTCTCGCAGCGAGAACCCTTGCGAGAACAAGACGTGTCAGCGCGGTCGAGGGGAGCTCAATCGAGTCGGGTTGTTTGTAGAAGAGGGCTAAACGCGGCAACGCGACCAAAAGAACGGCCGAGCGGAGGCGAGGGCCCAGAGGCAGCACTAGCCTTGGACGGGCGCCCAGGGCGGGCGGCTGGTTTGCGGTCACTGAACGGCCGGTGGTGACGGTGGTGGTGGTGACGGTGGGGGCGAGAATAGCTGTGGGTGGCGATGGTGGAGGTGGTGTTGGGAGTAGATACGGTGGTGGCGATGAGAATGGCGACGGTGGTTATAATGGTGATGGTAGAGATGAAGCCGTTAACAGCTGTAGGGGCGCTGGTGGTGGTGATTGTTGGGGTGAGAATAGCTGTGGTGGGAGATGTAGTGGCGTGGAAGGAGTGGTGGCGATTTGGGGCCATGAGAAGCCGATGGTGGTTATGATGGTGATGGTGGAGGTGGTGGGGTTGACAGCTGTGGGGGCTGAGGTGGTAGTGCTCGTGGTGGTGGAAGTGGTGGTGGCAGTGATGGAGATAGATGCGGTGACAGTAATAGAGAAGGATGCGGTTGAGTTGGAGGCTGTGGGAGTGGCGACGGTTGTTTTGATAGTGATGGTAAAGATAGAGTGGTAGGCGGCGATAGCAACCGATGGAGGTGATGGAGGTGGTACTTGTGGTGGTGATGATATTGGCGGCAGTAGGTTTGGTGTTAGCAGGGGTTGGAGGCTGTGGGAGAGGTGGGAACGATGGCGACATCCATGGTGGTGGCGGTGGCGGAGTCGGCAGCAGTGGTGGTGGTGGCGTGGACGGCAGTGGCAATTGTAACAATGGTAACGGTGGCGGCGCGGTCGGGGCAGCGATGGTGGTGACGTCGGCGGTGGCGGTGGTCGCGGCAGCGGTGGAGACGACTGGCAGGGCGGTGGCTCTGGCTGTGGTTTGGGCGATGGCATGCAGGTTGGCAGTCCTGACAGCGTGAAGAGGAGGGGTGGATCACATGAAAAGCGGTAGAGGAGAAGAGGGAGAGTGGAGGATTGTAATGAGGTTGTGGTTGGGCCAAAAACTGTTTCTACATGATAGTATTTTCACTCACATGTGTGTCCAGCCCGAAGATTTTTTCATCAAACAGCTTTAGCACTTTTTATAATTTATCGCACGATGTGAAATGTGAGGACCCAACACAGTGGTATACAGAATATGGTCCACTGGTCCACAGAATATTTCCCAACACAGTGGTAATGTTTTGGTGATGATGGTGATAATTCAGAAAAACGTAAGAAGTGAATATGAATGTGGGTTGATAATTGAATGCAATCTTCAGAATGCTAAGTTTGAAGTGCAAGTACCATTGTTATGAAGTCTGTCCAAGAATGTGAGGCCAAGTGTCATTCACAAGAACACAGGTACAAAGGTGCGAGCGCCACGAGCCAGCATAAAAGCAGGAGTACCAAATGTGGCTGATTTGAACGAACGAGCGCGAGTACTAACACGCGATGGATCGGATGTGTGGATTCGGCCGGGGGATGGGTGTGCGACGGCCAAGCAGACAAACAGGCATGTGAGGGTAGCGGCAGCTGGCTCAGTCACAAAAGTGCTAGTGTCAAGTATTTTTGACCCGAACCTCAGCATTGGAGAGCTAGCGCCAAATGCCACTGACACAACCTCAAGTGCAAGGGCACTGAGATCAATATCGCTGACATGAACTCAAGCACAAGAGCGTGACTGCCAGCGCGTTTGGGTGTCGGCACCAGCACAAGAGTGCTAGTGGCAGCACGCAGTGCGGTCAGACGCGTGGGTCGTACGGGGTGCGAAGTTGGACCAGTCGTCCCGCACGTGAGGGAGCGGCGGGGAGACAGGGGCATTTGTAAGTGTACGAGTGTCATTATTCCAAAACCCGAGCAAAAGAATACTAGTGCTAGATGCCACTGACACGACGAACCCAACCACAAATAGAGCAGAGTTAAATTTCGCCGACACAAGTGTGCTAGTGCCAGAACGCGATGTGTGAGAGCGCGGAGGGGGAGCAACACGTGAAGTTGCGCGAGGAAGGGGTGTCACAGACACGCATGCGAGTGTCAACTGTCATTGACCTAAACACCAGCACGATAGTGCAAGCGCCAAATACCACCGACACAATATCTAGCACAATGGGCGCTGAGTCAAATGTAGCCTTCTTGAACGCAAGCACAGTGCTAGCGAAATGTGGGTGTCGCAGAGTCTGTAACAACTGCGCGGGTGTCAACTACCATCGACCTGGACTCTAGCACGCGAGAGGCGAGGCGCGTGGCTCGGCCAGGCGGGGGCGGAGCAGCCGNNNNCTGCCCGCTCGCCCGACCGCCCGACCGCCCCGCCGCCTGCGCCGCCCGCCCAACGCCCGCCCGTAGAGCCAGCCTGCGCGTCGCCCGGCGCACACTCGGCCACGGACCGCGTTGCTCACGTCACTACTCCACTCGTGAAATTAACTCCAGACTTAACAAGCATGGGCAAAGAGTGTCCATTAGTTCGTTCCTAAAACAAAATGTGCTTTCAATAGATTCAGATATTTTTTAATTCTATTTGTCAACAACATCTAACTCTACGTTATAACATTTAAATCTGCATAACTTACATGTTTTTTTTAAATATGCCGTATTTTCGTGCATGGGCATTTTTTGCCCATGGTTGGTAAAACCGGTGACGAAAATAAATGAAGATTACTGATTTGCTTTAGCTACACTGTAGTGGCCATCATTCGTTGTAATACAGTGCAGCAATTAGTACTTGTGGGTTGCATTTGTAAAAGACATTCAATAACAAGAATTTCTTGTATTCAGGGACAATATTCAGTGAAGTCAAGTGATGATGAATATTGAAACTTAACAACGTACAACAAGATTATCCAACACTTATTTAAATTACCTTAATTGTTATGTAACAATGTGTGCTTAATAAAATCGTTCTTACTACATTATAAATCATTCATGTTCACGAGATGAATATATCTAATTTCAATATTACAGTTATAATAAGGAATTAAACATTTGAGCACTTGTTGCCCATGGTTGGTAAAGCACGGTACCAAAAATAACTTGGTAATGCTAGTGCTCCAATAATAATATATACAAAATGCCTCAATCTGGACGGTGTACCCCAAAAAGATTGTCTCTTTTTCTATCCGATTTTTCTTACCAATTCATGACTCGTCTATCTTAGAAGGCGGTATATATCGATCGCTATGTCGCTGTCCAATAAACAGGATATGAGCTATAAAGTAACCTCTTTGATTGTAACATAGCTTTCAGATATTTTCGATATTTTGCGCATTCTGGAACTCCGTTGTTCGTACTATTATGCGGAGTGTGTGTTCAAATGGGCCTATTTCCATCACTTCAAATTTGTCCGAAAATGAAGAAAAAATATATACAAATTATATATTCATTATTTATTTAGCTAATAATGTAGATTTTCAAATTTAAATAATTAGGCCAATAATTTGGTATACAAACTTACACAATGACTATAATACTAATATTTGAAATATGTTTGTTTACATTTGATAGTTGTTTTCAAATGTTGTAACTGAAAATGCTGGAAAAAGGTTTTGTCTAAGATACAATTAAGTTCTTGTTACCTGTGTTATGTAATAAACAATTCAGGTCACATCTAATGAGTTATTTTGCGACGCATTTAGTGCTATGCCTGCTTTCTCAACACGCGTTCGAAATAATTGATAGTAAACGGAAGTGAAAACAGGATATTGGTAAAGGAAGTAGAATTAATCATTCCCATTATCAATTCCTTTATAAAAGTGTTTTCCACTTATGAACCCAAACAAATTATTATTTATATTATGTTAACATTTGTTACCATTTTGCAACATACTTTTGAGACTGTAAAAATTGTTGTTTAGAAGACATACGTACTGATAAATTTTTACTTGAACATAGTACAGTAAATGTGTTAAACATTTCTCATACACTAATCCTTTCGACGGCTAATCCCCATTTCGTCTCGTTTCTAGGCTGTCGTGAAAAATATAATGATCTTTAAGGTCGACCTTAATGAAACACTATTCTTTATTACCGTACAATATAGGGAATTTTATTAACTATTTTGCTGACAAAAAGCTGATGAGTTTAGTTATTTTGTTTTATAAGAATACGTTATTAGTAATATTTGCTCAAAAAAACTTAAAATTTTGGTTCTTGAATGATTTGCAGTGTATGATCGCTGTACTAACTTTTGAATTAAAAGTAATATGAGTTCTTTGGTAAACATTATGCAATATCTGCATCATATATGTGTCCAGCGCAGTTTAACGCAAAACCTTAAAAACTGCGGCTATCTCTGCAGAGACTTGGGCCGGGAGGGTCTAGGGTTCAGTTTCCAACAGGGGCGAGTTTTTGACATTATAAATCTAGATCGAATTCAGTCGCTGTCTGGAGGAGAATCCTAGCGGCCGGCTGCCCTCATCTGTAGCTTTCCGTGGTTTCTCCGATCAACAGACGAAATTCGGAGCAGTACTCTAACAAACGAACCACGGACCGTGCGCAGTCTCTCCTTCTTCCTTGCCTTATCGTCGTCTCCTCAATCGCAGACACACTAACATTTACTACACTACCTCAGACGTCGGAGGACCATTTGGAAACTTAAAAGCTTGTCCCGGCTGGGGCGGTGCACCTTTGAGGGGAGATACCTGGCAGGGGTAATCCCCGCAAAACAAGTCAGCTTCTCAGCGATACCCATCCAGAGGATAAGGAAACACAACTGACGTCCGAGATAAAGACATTCACTACACTTACGGGACTAATTATCATAACTGATGATGTTACCAGAAACATTAGTTAATCAATCTATCAATCAATCTGTCTTTGGTGTGAACTTTGATTTATTCATGTAATTCAGTCGATATTGTAATATTTAAATTCAGTGTCGTGATAAAACGTATAATAAATTTCGAAGGTACGACTATACCGCAGGCGCGTCTCAGTGTTAGTGAACTAACAATCCACACAATCCAAAAGAATGGCTCCAGAAATTTCATCCACAGAGACTACGGTGGTGGCATATCCTTGCACTGTTTTGTATCTTTGTGTTGATCTACATATGGGCCGAAACCGCAATTTCCCGACATGATAATGGACGGATGAAGATAAGCGGCGACTTGTCGGCAGAGAGTCGGTTTGTGTTAAGCAGAAGTACTTTCCTTGCACACTTTTCACCACTATCATGTTCGTTCTTCTTGTTCATTTTTCTTCGCCGAAACATTCTATATCTCGCTGATTAGGTTTCTCAGGAGATTGCAGTAATAATTTTAACCTTTGTGGAATTTAGAGAAACAGGATGAATATATTTCGTAGAAATCATGAGATTCTTATGGAATGAGGTGAATAACTTCTTTGTTGTTGCTGCTGATTTTTTGAACACTTAATCGTTTTCAAAATTTGAGGTGAAATGAAAAATGATCCACAAAGATTGAAAGGTGGAAAATGATACAATATAGAACGTAGAACGGTCATTTATTAAATACCTAGATAATATGACGATTACATTTTGGAGTAAGAAAGAAATGAAGAACCAAATCATTCGAAATAACTACCTCTAACTGCTCGCACTGAACGGATACAGTGAGGCAGGGTTGCCAGATGTGTTGCGAGCTCTTTGCCTACCACTACTTCGGATTTTTCACAAATAGCCTCCCATGAAACAAAATTCCCCAACTTTGAAACGATGAGTATGTTTCAACGACATGAGGTGTCCCTGACGATGTCACTGACAGTCCGCTTAATTCAAATAATTCATAACTATTCTAACCAATCATAGTTCTTCGAGCTGCTCGAAACCCTGTGTCTTCGTTTTAGTCATGTTTTTCTTTCTCTGTCCCTGAAGTTTATTTTTATCTCTCTATTTTGATACATAAAAGTGAGAGAGAATATGTAACGTATATTGTTTATTTTTTATTCATAATAATTCAGAGAAAAGTATTTA